TAATTTGTCTTCTGGTCTTCACTTCCCCCATCCCATTCCATAACAAATTATATTTTGAATATATATAACCTTCCCCCCCAATCTTTGACTTAAATGTTTCATTCACCTTTCCTGTCTACTTAATACTTCTCTACAGCTATTTTCAGACATGTCTCATCCTTTAGTAGCCAATGAACTCCCATAGGATAAGGACTGTCTTTTTTTTAATTGTATATTCCCAGTTTGCAAAACGTGACATAAAAGAAAGCACCAATGATGTCAATTAATCCATCAGCAAGCATTTATTACGCACTTACTATGTTCCAGGTACTGTACTAGATAGAATCTGAGAATACAAATGCAAAAATGAGACTAGTCCCTGACATACATTCTACCACAGAGAAAGATAACATATTCAGAGATAAACACAAGAAACTCCACAGTGATAGCGTTGGAAGCAGTAACAAGGGAGAGGAAGCCTGGGATGTAGAATGTAAACTCCTTGAGGGCAGGATGGAACTATCTCACTTTTAGTTTCATGTCCCAGCAATTAACACAATGCCTAGCACACGACAAACGCTTAATAAACATTTGTTGAGTAATTGATGGAGCTAGAAGTTGAGCTGGACTTTGAAGGGAGGGAGGGACTACAAGAAGAACACATGGATGACCAGAAAAAGAAGGCAGCTAGTCATGTGACTCATAACAGGTCCAAGTTTTTCATTGCCATCCACAAAATATTAAAAGACTCAGAGCATGGCTACTAGTATATTGGGAAGGCTTTAGGATCAGAGAGTTAGGTCCAGAAAGGACCTTAGAAGTCATTGAGTCTAATTCCTTCATACTACAGATAAGGAAACTGAAGGCTAAGAAGTTAAGTGATCAAGATCACTCAACTCAAGATCACTTAGCTATTAATTGTCTGAAGAAGGTTTAGAACCCGCCTTCCTAACTCCAAGTTCAGTGTTCTGTCTATACCATTTGAATACTCTATGGAATTGTTGTAATCATTGTCATTATTGCTTTCAAATGGATAAAAGTAGTACAAAATGAGAAGCAGAGATGACTTCCCATCTTCATCAATAAAGAGAGTAATTATCCCCAGTCCTACTACTGCTATGAATATAGCTAGCGCTTAATAAATGTTGAATTGAACCCAGTTGAGTGAATAGCTCTGATACTACAGATAAATAGTAAAGACCCCTTGCATATTAAATAGTATTAGTAGAATTCAAGTTCCCAAGGGCAGGGCAAGTCTCACTTTCTTATTTGTATCCTCAGCGCATAGCATAGTTCCTAGTTCATAAAAGGCATTTTGTAAAGGTGTGTGTTGAAGGACAGCTAGATGGCTCAATGGATAGAATCAGAAGACATCCTCCTGAGTTCAAACCTGACTTCAGACACTTCCTAGTTGTGTGACCCTAGGCAAGTCACTTAATTCTATTTGCCTCAGTTTCCTCATCTGCAAAATGATCTGGAGAAGGAAATGGCAAACCACTCCAGTATCTGTGCCAAGAAAATCCCAAATGGGATCAAGAGGAGCCAGACATAACTGAACAACAACGAAAATCTCATGAAAAAAGGAGTGAACAGAAAGTGCGGAAGACTTAACAAAAAACCATGCTCTGCTCTCCCTCTGCTGGATCTCAAGCAACATTGCCCTGACAAGCAATATCCCCTCTAAAAGTGACTATGTACTTGGTGGGACCTTCTATTTAATTGCACTTCCCCCATTGTAATGTCCATACTATCATAATGGGAGGAGGGTGGGGAGAAACCATGGAAAATGACAGAGACACCATATTGTTATAACAGGTACAGGAAAGACAAAAACACTGGAGATGAAGAGATAGAATCTCACCTTTCTATGAGTATATGCTATTGAAGAAAGAATGAGATGATTGGATTGGTTATTTTTTTGTTGTTTCTCTAAGGTTGTTTGTTGTTTAAGCTTTTAACCTACGAAGTCACAAAATCATAGATTCGTTAAACATAAGTCCATTCACAAAATCATAAAGTCATAATGGACACTGCTATAGCCCTTTGAAGTTTACAAAGTGGTTTATCTCATTCTAGCTTCACCGCCATTCTGTGAAGCAGCTCTCAGAGTTACTTCACTTCCTTTTTTTAATCTTCACTCCTCTGGAGCTCTCAGGAGCTTGGACAGTTGTCCTTATCTCCTTGACACTTCTCTCTTCCATCTAGGTTTCTGTGTCACCACTCCGTCCTGGTTTCCTCCTCCCTGTCAGATAATCCCCTCTCAGTCTCCTTTGCTGGATCTTCATCCAGGCCACACCTACGAACTTTGGGTGTTCCAGGGATTCTGTCCCGGGGCCCTCTTCTCTTCTCTCTCTATAGTATTTCACTTGGTCATGGATTCAATGATCATTTCTGTGTGACTGATTCTCAGATCTAATTATCCATCCCTAACCTCTCTGCTGACCTCCAGACTTACATCTCCAACTGCCTAATGGCCATCTTAAAGTGGATTCCTGAAGATATCTTAAACACAAAATGTCCGAAACTGAACTCATATCCAACTCCTCCCCATTTCCAAACTTCCCTATTATTGTGAGCAATGGTATCAAACTCGAAAATAGAAATGGAGGCCTCTAAACAATACATAAGGATGCCTGCAGGCTGAATCACATTGACTTAGAAAAATCACACATTTATGTATTTCTTTTTAATACATCAACACATTAAAATCAAATAAGAACCACATTTTAATCTGGTTCAGTCCCTGACGTGGCACCAGGTATCTGACGTCTCTGCTGCAGAAGGTACCATCATCTTCCTAGTCATCTCACTCTCTTTCACCCCTCCACATCCATTCTGTTACCAAGTCTTGCCAACTTTACCTTCTTTTGTACACACCCCTTCTCTCCTCTGACAATACCATCGCCCTGATAAAGGCCCTCAACTCCTCATGTCTGGACTCTTACAGTAGCCTTTGGTTGGCTTCTCTGCCTCAAGTCCATCCCCACTGTAGCCTGCCTAAAGTGCAAGTCTGAAAATGTCTCCCTCCCTATTCAGTACACTCCAGTGGCTCCCTGTCACCACCAAGATCAAATGTAAAATCCTCTGTTGGGTGTTTTCTCTGGCTGTCTCCCCTGCCTTGAATTCTCTCCCTCCTCATCTCTGTCTTCTGATTTTCCTGGCTTCCTTCAAATCTCAGCTAAAATTCCACCTTTTACAGGAAGCCTTTCCCAATTGTTCTTAGTTCTAGGGCCTTCCCTCTGTTGATTATCTCTCAATTATCACATATATACATACACACACACACATATATCTTGTTTGTACACATCTGTTTGTTTTCTTCCCCATTAGACTGTGAGCTCCTCAAGGGCAGAAACTTGTCTTTTGCCCTTCTTTGTATCCTTCTTACTTAGTGTCTAGTACATAGTAGGTGCTTAATAAATACTTGTTAAATAACTGACTGAATCTATAAGCAGCAGAGCCATAACTAGCAATTCTGCCCAGGGCAATCAACATAAAAGTGTCCTTAAATCTTTTAAAAACAAATTCGGGGCAGCTAGGTGGCTTGGGTAGATAGAGCACTGGCTCTGGAGTAAAACTTGAGTTCAAATCTGGCTAATGCTTCAAAACAGAATATTTTTGTTTAGCTGTAAGATAACTGACATTATGTATCTAGTAAAATCTATGGATTCCTTAAAATATTTTAATGCATTAGTTTTGCATAAAATGCATGAAATAAAATAAAATGTAAAATTACAAAAGAATTTTGAATATAAACACTGTTGTACCAACTATTCTCCATGTCCCAAAGGATCATGTATTTGCCTGACATAATGATCTTTTAAAGAGCATTAAAAAAAAAAGTCCTCCCCTCTCCTTTACACTTTCACTTTCTTCAGGATTCAGCTTAAGTCTCACATCTATAGAACACTTTCCTAGAGCTGGGAACCCAGCCTATGGTTAATCTCTTCCTTCTACGATGTCCTAGAACAATCATTGTCCATACTACTTATTTAACAGTGCTGTCATCAGTTCTTCTTATGAGTGGTCGCTGGGCATCCATGAACTCAAGAGAGTAAAGGGATGCCCAATCCCTTCTCTCTCCTCTGTTATCTGTCCAATATGGTGTGAATTCCTTGGACAAGATAAGAATTCAAGACCTGGGTCTCCATTGTTTATTGATGTGGCCTTTGTCCAGGAAGAAAGTGAGGCTATCTGAATTAAGAGCCCATTAATCTAATTAATAGAGTTCACACCTTTGGACTTGGTCTTTTAGAGAAGCCTGGGAACCTATCAGATTCAGGGAATGGATGTACACACAAGAGAGGAAGGGAAAAAAGAATGGAGGGAGGAAGAGAGGAAGGGAGGGAGGGAAGGAAAGAAGGGAGGGGAGGGAGGAAGAGAGGAAAAGAGGAAGAGAGGAGGGGAGGGAGGAAGGGAGGAAGGGAGGAGGGGAAGGAGGGAAGGAAGGAAAGAAGAAGGGAGGGGAGGGAGAAAGGGAGGAAGAGAGGAAAGGAAAGGAGGAAGAAAGGAGGGAAGGAAGGAAGAGAATGCACTAGTGATTGAACTTTGAATGAATGAATGAATGAATGAATGAATGATCATCCTGACTGCAGGATGAACTCCCTGGGCCTCAGACCACTAACGGGCAGAGCAAATTTACCAGCGCTGCGTCTGACCCAACTCTCCCGCTGAGATCATGTCTTGCCCATCCCAGGCCCGTCCCATTTCTCCGGCCTCCGCCCGCATGGGCCGCAGTTCGGGGCCTGGCCTCCTCTTGAGGCCCGCGGGCCCTCCTCGGCCTTCCTCGGCCCTCCTCGGCCTTCCTCGGCCCTC